CGGATCGTTCACAATACGAAGCATTGCTGTGGACTGGATTAACTGTATGCTTTTTGGGATGAAACTATTTCCCAGGAATAGTTATAATAATTGATAGAATAGCTTAGAATAACCCCTGCTCAAGCACTCCCTAATATCTACTCAAGAGTACTGTAAGCTCAGCAAGAGCAGTATTTATTACAGAGGCATTCCGAGAACAAGAAAGCAGCAAATTTGTGGAAATGAATGAGCATTTTGTTGCAGACAACCTGTATTTCATCAATGTGGATTCGGATCGCACTCATATCGAAGTGTGCCAGCTGGACGGAAAGCATCGTAAAATACTGCTATCAACGAAAACGGAAACGCCAACGTCTCTTGCAGTGGATCCAATTGGAAGATATCTCTACTGGGCTGATCAAGGGCAGAAACCGTCTATTCAGGTGCATCACTTGAGTTTTTCTGGCTACAGCAAAAATAATCTTTCAGCATCACCTCTGGTGAGCAAATTTCCAATTTTTTCATCACTCGGTTTGGCTATAGATTTTAAACAAAAATGGTGAATTTTCCGTGCATGAGATTATTAAACCGTATTGATGCGCTGTTAAAGAGGCAGCAAAGGAAAGTACAAATTGGCTACGGTGTACATCAAAATGCTGGTCCCTTCTCGCACTTTTTTAGGCAGATACTGTATTTTATACATTTTAATGTTTCGGGGCCTAGATTCATTTTTCTAACACAGTTTATTAATTGTTAGCCCGTCTGGCAGCACTTGTCCAACAGCAGCCGTTTGTTGGCAAAGCTGCTTATCTGCGCCCGTGTCTCTTTCTTTCATGACGAATGAATTATGACGAAATTTTGATGGTGGCTATATTTTTAGCGTGCACTTTTGGATGGAAGTAATCGTCAAGTGATCGTGCATGGAAATATTGCCGAGCCAACAGATTTGATTGTGGATCCAAACAGCCATATGGTATATTGGACTGATGCAAAGCTTGACGGTAAGCGCGTTATCTTTTGACAAACAGTAGCACGAATAATTCATTGCTTACAGACTGCGATAAAAATAAATTGAGGACTCCTTGCTGTGCTTTGCTATTGCACACCAGCCGCACACAAAACTGAGTATGGCTCTGCCAAGTGCAGCAAGGCAAATGTTTTGAAAAAGTTTTGGCTTGCTGTGGCTGCAATTTGTTACATTCCAAT